TCACAGATAACATCCAAACTATTTATAGTTATTATTCTTTATACACACACAAAACACTAATCATATTGTAGTTTAAAGTCTCAAATAAACTCCACGGACAAAGGTAGTCTGCACACATTTGTCGTTCAGACCAATTGCCATGCACATTATTCTTGGATGGCATTAAAATAGTAAAAGCATATTCATTTTATGATTTCTTCACCAGTCTTGTTCCAAAATGATCTTAGCATCCAGTTTGAATCAATGTACACTGCAAGTCTGAATATCTATAGGGTCGCCAAAAGATTGGTGCATCAACTACTAAATCAATTTTAATACCTGGTCCCTTCAACCTTCCCAAATCTGCCATACTAAAACGTAAAACAATTGTACGTACGTATAATTTAGTAAAAATTGTCTCTTTTGTCTTATTTCTAAAATTGTGAGCTTAGATCCTTCTGCGGCTCCCAAGTGTCAGAGTTTAATGTTTCCAAAAGAGAATACTCAAACCACTCCAACCTTCGGTAGTTTTCAAAAAATCTGAAGAGAGAGTTGTTTAGTTAACTTCACTTTTACAATCAAACACATTTGAACTGAATATTTATGCTACAAAAATTGATCGTAGACTTATAGAAGACAAGAAAATCAACAAAGACAAAAACCCACGAGATACTACGGTGCACAAGTTTGGAACCATTAAAGTCACCGACTATTGGAAGTTGTAGTGACTTGCAACTTATCATAGCTCGTAACATTATATGACCTAAGGAGGTTATTGTTTCCCAACATGTGTTAAAAAGTAGATTGTTAGCGAGAACCCAAATCGAGATACTAATTTTTAAACTGTCGATGATGGTGGATTCATGCATCTGGATATGAAGTTTAGGATTTTTGCCTTCCTACTATAATACTTAGCGAAACGAGTACACTCGTCGCGCTGAACAAATTATCTGTGTTTGCGTGGACATAGCCACAAAGGACGAATCACCTTATAACTATGTTTGCATTTTTGTCGTGTTTTGTTGATCTTCTCACTTGTGTTATTCCGTGAAGTTTTCTCGATTATTGTAACGACACTTAAGTATTACATATGATTATGCATCAACTTTGTAATTGCAACTAAATGTAACATAGCCATATTCTCTATTTAAATTTAAACATATTTAGTTGAGATCACTATTCAAGGCACAAATGAAATTACCAATTCACATCCGACAGTATGATTTTTTCATCCCAACATCAATATTTAAAACAAATTTTAAATCTTTTTTGGCTACTTGGAGTAACTATTTTATCGAATCAACATGAGGATGAAAAATTTGAAGTTATTCAATGCAAATTTTCTCACAACTTAGTATAGAATAGGTAGGTGGTTCATTTGTTGGATTATGTTTACTATATTACAATAATGCTCTATTGAAAAAATTCTAATTGCATCTTTGATAATCAACCGTGTTATATAGTGACAAGATAACTAAATAAACTAACTAAAGTTAACCAAAACGTGAATTAATTTATAACAAAAATGACAATAATTAACCTTGAAATATGGAATGACTTTGAATTTAAAACCATCAAACACAAACAGATTTGACAAAGTTTAGACCATTCCATTTGAGCACATTTTTTTGGGAAATATATTAACATGTAAAAGTATGTTTCACATACATACGTATATTCATATGCATTAGTGTAGTTATTTGATTTCTATTCACAAGGTTGTATGTTGTACTCCGACCTACCGTTAGACTCCGAAGTCTAGGATCACAAGTCAGAAGCTCTACAGTAGCCAAAAGTCCTGTCACAATAACATTATTCGCAACATCCCAAGAAAGTGGTCCTCGCTATCGTAGGTAGCAATAATGATGATAGTATCTGGCTATCAAAAGCAAAAACTATTCTCTCTTGGCTCGACTGTAAACGAAGAATTTATGTCAATTCCGTATAACCAAAAGAACCATAATCAGGTGACTTGTGACTAGTCTAGCCACGAAGGGCCGTAAAGCGAATCTTTGCTGCCTCTTGTCCAGTGATACATCACAATGGTGTCGTTGTCCGTCTGTATGTCTGTGTGTCTGTCCGAGTAACTTCGGTAAGCACCCACGGACGTCTTTTCGGTGCGTTACCACCTGAGAATAACAACCCTAAAGGGAAAGCCGGATGTCTCAACTGGACCACTGATACAGTGAAGTACAGAACATGACAGCACGCCTCACAACGTATAACTGATCAACTGTCTCACTCGGTTGCCATTTACTTCCTTGATTTTCCAATTCAATAGAAAACACAACCTGGCTGGACATGTGTATGAAGGAAAAAGGGCAACTTATTGGGGAAAAAGAGATGAATGATAGCTGCGTATTAAGTGCGTGGTAAAACATAGCTTGGGACTGGCGAGAGAGGGGTGCTTTTTCCCACTTTACCTTCGCACTTATGAACAAGATTTTTTATTATGTTGGAAATATTGTAGGCCTATCAGTACTCACCGTGACAATACTCGTGTTTCCGAAACCAGGATAGTATATATCATGATGTTGTTAGGAAGGTAGGGCGGAGTTGGAGCTGTGAAGTGATGAAGAAAACACTGTGAGGACATGGTCGTGCTCCACCAGTTAGAGATGCTCATGCGGGTTATCTAGTCATACGTAACTCCTCTTAACCTTGTGAATGATTGATTGCAGTACGATCTCTTCCTGCTATTCGATGAACACGTAAATACTACATGGCTGCTATCTGGTCACACGTGTTTTTGTATTTCATATTATCATATCTATGCCACTAGAAATGTATCAGTATTGTATGCTTAAGCAGTAACGGTTCTCACTAATATTCTGTAATCAAATTTCGTGTTAACATTTAGACGAATAGCAACATTTGAGAAGGACAATAATGAAGGGTCAACTGTTAGAACATTGTGTCACATTTTTTTTTCGTGGGAGTATCGATGAATCCACAGATCCGGAGATTAGATTGGTACTACCACTACTACTGTGGAGCTTTTCTGTATTATAGTAGTAGTAGTACTAGTAGTAGTACCACTACTACTCCAAAGAACAAGGTACCGTTGTTTGGGAGTTTTGCGGCAGGGTTTTTGGTCGTTTTCTTGGTTCGAGGGGAGTCGTTGTAGTCACAACCACGTGGTGGTTTTTCACTCTTTTCATATGTTTCCAATTGCTCAAAAAACCACGCAGAAGAAATTAGTGTTGCAGGGTAGTCTCCACGAAGACAGACTGATTAAAGCAACCTTGGGTCTCAAAAGATTTTCATTCCTTCCCAACGGAAGGCTAATGATTGATAATAAAACTCAAAAGGAAACAAGGTGATAGCGTAGAAGCTACTTGCAGTGTAATCAGTGTTACCAAAGCACGGCAGGTCGATCTTCAGTCATTAAATTCATTCTCCATATCTGTGTCCAGGAGTGCTACAATGAGTGCACTGAAGTGGCTTTCATATTCCAGCGACAGCTTGGAGAGGTTCTCATGTCTCCATTGCTAAATTTCACCCTCTTGAAGTGTGAGCTGCAAGGACCCTATCGTCCACGTCGAGGAGGGAAAAAAATTGCTACATACAGTACTTCGCCATTCTTTCTCTGTGATACAAACTACTCTTCATTCCGGAAACCTCCACCCTCTAATCTCTCGAAAGTCAACCTAGCAAGTATTGTGTCATTGCAATCGACTCTCATGATGGAAACATGATTGAGCAGTTTGAATTTTTCAGTTTGATGATTTCACATTTGTTTTCAGTGTACTAGATGGTTATCACAAAGTTGGACAACGCTTTGCACCTCTAGCTTTGGCAACTTTCATTTCTTACTGTAAGGTGAAATGATCGTTCATAGAAGACCTATCATTTCCTACTATATCTGAAGCCGACTTTGTGGGATTATGAATTTTAAGTCATAAGACTATGTTTTTGAAACTCCATAACTTAATTTGATAAGGTGTACATCGTACGTATACAGCAAGAAGGCGGGGGCCAAGCAGATACCAACAAAGGACTGGAGGACCCCATCAATAAACCTTACGTAGCCCCAAGGAACCCAAACTAGCTACCGATATTCATTTGGGAAAAAATCGGACTAAACTAGAGTAAAAAATCGGACTATTAAACCACAATCTGATCTAAATCTGATATTTTACTTATCTAGCTTTGCATTCACGTTGATTGATAATTAATCCGCACTCTTGTAGGATTCACTAGAGCAGGTGCGAGCAGGGCTTCAACCTTCGTAAGATGACAACTTATTCTTTCGTTTGGGATACGTGGGAAGAAAATATAAATAAATATGTGTATATATATACAATGCGTATCAATGCTAATTAAAAAAAAAACGCAGATGGCTTCTCTGTCACATGCTAAGTATGTACAGCATGGGAGGCACCAGAGGCAGCAGCTCCAGCACGAGGAACTTTGGGTACATACATTATTCTTTTCAGACAAGACTGATGGATGTGGGAAGGTCTCGTGGTCAAACCCGTTCACCAAACTTCTGAGTTCAAATGTGTTTCCTCAAGGTATTGTTGATCAAGAGCAGATGTAGCGAGGGAAATTAATGACCGCGCCTTCCCACAAGAGTTATGTCTGCATGATGGCTGCCTTTACAGTAACGACCATGAATAATCCAGGCTTGACCAACTTGACCGTAGAGGAAATCAGCGCTACTCGAGTCTTCTTGTCCGGAGCCCATGAGGTCTCGAAACAGTGTGCAAATTTTGCGAGTCTCCATCCTTGATTAGTTGATCAATTAAGGCAGCTTTAAGTAAGTACATTAATGGGTGTAAATCTACACCACGGTTAGTTAATGACTCGTCCTCAAGCTTCGCTCGTGGCCACTGTCTGGCCTTGGCGCTCTCCATCATTTGAAATATCCAACAGAACACGGCACTCACTGAATCGGTGGTCAACTGCATGTTGACCATAAAACATCTAACCGTCGATATCGATTTCCAGTACAGTATAGAAGCTTGCGTCCAATCTTCGTAACGATGACAGACAAACTTTCCAAACCACATCATTACCTTTCAAATGTACTTTGTGCAGTAGGGGTTCATCCATGTACGATAAGGACAATCGTCATCTGATTCTCAAAGCTTTACTTAATCGTGAGTCGTAACGAGCCGAGCTCATCCCCAATTCAAACCAAACCTCGTTGCTTCCCGTCGGTAGTCGTATTAAAACCACGGTGCTTATCGCTGCTGCCCCATTGCTCGTGAAGCTCCCTCTGTCCGACTCCTGTCACTCGAGTGCCTTGTTTCAGCTCAGTCATTGTCAAGAAAGATTCTCTCTCAATAACCCTTCCAAGACGCCATCATGATTTCCTTCCTATGTTAGAGATTCGTTTGTGCTCCATTGAGCATCGAACTATCTCCCTCTCTCTCTCTGTCGTGTTCTAGTGTGTGACGCCATCTAGCTGGCAATTGCTTCTGTCCCATCGATGTCGAACGATGTTCTCAACGGCAGATGAAATGGTCGTTCATGATAATACTCAATCGGCGATCCCCTTGGTCTAAAATTTGCACAAATACATGACCCGAGGAGCGTGGTTTCAAATCTGTCGTCGATGGGAGTTGGATTGGTTTGGGCGCTGCCAAGCAGCACCTACAGCACGATCAAAACAAGAACGTGAATGCCAGGGGTGAGTTTGGAATTCAGGATTTTCCTTTATCGATCTCACAATGCGTCTGCCTTTCAGATGAAGCTCAGCAGTTCCAGAATACTGCCTCTCAGTAAGTTTATGTTTGGAATAGCCAGATGATTTCTCCACAATTATACTCAGTTCGCCGCAAGTCAGTGGTGGAGTAGCGTACGCTGTCAATTTTTCAAGCGTTGCTGCGTTTTCAGGATGAGGATGATTGATTTGGGCAGCACGACGGGCTCGATAGAAATAAACTCTCGGCCCACCCACTTGAATTGCGAATTGTCTTCCGGGAAGAAAATATGGATGGCTTTTCGCTACCTGGTGACTCCATGCTGTGGAGGTAGTAGAAGGCGCTCGGCAGTCGAGTCTATGGATGACGAAGGAACCTTCGATTCGGCTTCGCTAGGCCACACTGTAACTGGCACATTTTACGGGTCACGGAAAGGGAGAGTCACTTTGTGCATCCAGGAAGATTCCAAAGGGCCTCCACTACTCCTACTCGAGTTTGCCATGCCGACGTACTCTCTCGTCAGGGAGATGTCGTCTGGTATGCTTAGAATTGCGCTGGAGTGCGAGAAATCTCCCCCACCCTTCAAAGATGGTAGAGACGGCAGCAGATCCCCGGATCTTCTTTTGGAGCCCGTCTGGAGCTTATTCTGCAATGGGAGAAAGGTGGGGTTTGCTATTAGGAGGCTCAGTTCTGAGACAGATCGAAAAATCCTTAATCTCATGCAGAGCGTGAGCATGGGAGCAGGAGTTATTCCTTTGATTGAGCGCAAGGTGATGATGCCAGAGCAGGAGATCATGTACATGCGGGCACGGTACGAAAGAGCGTGTGGTCGCTCTCCAGATTCGCTCTCGCTGCACCTGATAAATCCCGATGGAACCCCTGGTCAAGAGCTGAGCATTTTCCTTTTCAGAAGTTGACTAAGGTTGGGCAGTCATTTTAGTCTGCTGCATTGACATGAGATGAAGTGTCTCTCTGTCCTCCCACCAGCCTGGGTGGTAGCCGTCTGCTGTATAGAGATTAGAAAACCTTCTATTGATCCTCCAGAGTCGACTCCAATCCCCTAGCGACAATCTGACTTAGCAGATTGTCCAGCACAATCACAGTGAGTCGGTGTGCTGGTTAGCGTTTTATTCAGCAGTTGAGAAGATAGAGACGAGAAGTGATTTCAGTGGACCATGGAACAGTTCATGAAGATGTGGAAGGAGAGGAGAGTGCAAAAGAGAGGCTTTGTCCTTCTCCCGTAGAATAGAAATGTGTATGATTGAATGAGCTTCATACGTATAGATAAAAGTATGCCGCTTCTCGAGTTGTACATTCAGTTCAATTTGCCACATTTTGATTTATCTTCGACAGTTTCATATATGGTTTAAGTGTTAATGGTGAAAATTATATCTGAGTAGGATAATGTTGAAGTGATTGTAAGATGTTGTAAACTGTGCCAAAGATTGTTCTGCAGATAATTGTATATTTTTACTCTGTTCGCATTTTTGCAGATTTTATATGTTCGTAATTTGTTAATGTATATTTGATATTAAGCGTGAGAAGAATGAGTGGAAAGTGTGTTTTAGTTTTCATGTTCAGTGTTGTATATTATGAATTGATGAAATTTTTGGTGAAGTTTATTTTCATGGGAAAATTTGTTATAAAGGCAGACAAGAGTGTTATGTTATCTGTGTATATAATCGTAACAATATATCATCTCTCCTGTTTTGTTAACAAGTAGTGAGAGTGCGAAAGTGACAGTGCAATATGAGAATATTTGTATGTAAAGTGTAAAATTTAATAAGTGTATTGATAGAGAAAGTAAGTAAAATTTTTATATTGTGTGTACTTTTGAGTACTATGGTAAAGAATTCGTTAGAAGGAAGGGAGAAGAGGTAGCAAGAATGTGAAGAATATTATGAATTGTATATAGGTGTAGACTATGTATATAGTCAAAACATGAAGCTGAATATATTTATTTTCTAGTATCAGTCCTATTTCTTTCATGTACATGCACAAATTGACACAGTGTTGGGTCTCAATGGTGAGCCCCCCCTTGCGGGTATTTAGTTTATTGATCATTTGGTAGATAAGTATGGGCGAGAACATGGGAAGTGGAAAAGAGTCTTCTACACAGGTTATTTCACCTGCTCCAACAATGTGTAGGAGGTTTACACAGTTGATATGTTTACAGATGCGAGTGTATCAAGTGGATGGGTAATGATTTGACGATGTTGACTTCCTACAGATTTGAATGGTTTTATTCTATCAACCCGCGTAGTATTCTCCCATATGTACGAAACGGTACATGATGTTGAATTGTTTTTCTCCTGCTGCTCCATATTTGTTGTCTCCATACACTTTCATTTTCATACAATATATTTATTGTATGAAAATAGATAATTCAGACTTATCGCCACTTCGTATCGATATTTCCCGTTTTCTTTCCTTTCCAACTGCTCGTCTCCACTCTGCATAAATCTGCATAGAACAATGCACAAGGATTTATTCTGTCACATTCACGTGACTGAATTAACGTTCGTGTATATTCTAACAAGTAGTGGAAGTAAAAAAGTATGTAGTTGTAAATTACCTTGCCCATGGCGACTTGCAGTCTTCTTTTCTTAGCCAGAAAAGGTGTTATGGTTTCAAATTATTTCTGCCACATTGCACTGATGGATAAGAGACTTTTCCTGTTAACATCACAATGCATATATTCCTGATGTATTTTACAATTTCCAATTGGGCAGGAAATTACCTGAAGTGTAATGTGTGATGTTGCGTGCGTGTTCGCGCTTTTTTGCCTCTAAACGCTGTAGCAACGTCAGCCGCTTACTTTTCGCATTTACAACTCCCAGTGTTAATTTCTCCAGTATAAACTATCGAATGTTCCTGGAGTGTAGGATACTGCGGGAGTCGACTGTCTTCACTTTGGCGGGAAGTCTGGACATATCTGGGGAGCCGAACACTTGCCAAAACCTCAAAGTTTCATCTCCAGCAGCTGAGGCAATTGTGTATCCATCTGGGCTCTGCGCAAGTAGTAACATGGCAATGTTGAGAGAATATTCTAATCAGAGATGATTTCATTTCAGACAAGATCTTATAGCTCAGAATTCATTTTCATCATTGAAAATGTCATAGATTGATCCAACAACTACGTTGCGATACACACATACTTTACCTGGGCAAGGTGCAGGACGCGAGATGTATGGCCTGTAAGCTCAGTCATCTTCACCATGGAAGGATATTTCCACAGGCAAAGTTGGTTTTGACTAAATCCATGAGAGCTCAAAATTTCCTTCTCATGCTTACTCCATTGCAAAGCACACACCTGGGACTGAGTGTCAATGCTATTAACGCAGGCACCAGTGTGTGTGTTCCAGAACTTAATGCAGCGATCTGCGGTACCACCGCCGGACGCTAGCAAATTTGCCTGAAAGGGACACCAAGCTAACGCCTTCACAGCTGCCTGATGATCATCCAGGCGGTGAAGGTATGGGCTCGGTCCTTGAGAAGATGCGGCAGCTGCATCCCAAATGTGTAGCAGATTGTCGTTCCCTCCGCTAGCCAACTGCTGACCCGACGGAGACCATTTCAGACCGCACACTTCTTGCTCGTGTGCAGTCATTCGACCCGTGATGTGTTCTCTAATTCTTACTGAAAAAAGAAAATGAGAAAGATGATCAGAATACTGTATTTCTACGAAATTACGGATCAAGTGAAATTCTTAAGTAGTGATCTTCAATCGCGGCTCATCGAACAGGAGCTTCGAACATTACCATCATGGTTGAAAATCACGTTGTCACGTCCTCCGGAGCTGAGGACAGGACCGCCATTCCAGGCAAGTGCTCCAACGCGGGCACAGTGTCCTTTCAAGGACCGGACCTGTCTTAAAGAGTGGCTGTCCCATAGCTGAACGTCAGCATTGTTCAGGCCGATGGCAATGTATTGCCCGTCTGGTGCCCAGCAAATACTGGTGACAGGTCCTTCATCACCCACCGTCATTAATTCTTCAATTGAGCTGGTCGTAGCATCCCACAGATAGACGGTGTTTCCAAGAGCGATTGCCACGACGTTATTTGAGCTCCAGTCCAGCAAATTCAGGTAGTAGTCATCCAGAAGTTCTGGAGCGTCAAGGGTTCTCTCCGGAGCCTGAGGAATGTGGCGAAACAATTTCTTCGCTTTCGCTGGGCTGGCAATGTTCTGGGTGTACAGGGCCTTCCTCGAATTCTCAAAACCTTCAGGGGGAGGTGGAGGCTTGCTGCTGAATGACAAAATCCTTGAGTTGCCGTCATTGTCTCTCAGCATGTTACCTGCCAATTGCTTCTTGTACTCTTCCTGCGTACACAGCGAACGCTAGGTGAGACCAAACTATTTTTCAATCCCAGACACAGAATCCATTCAATTCCTCCGAGTTTCTGGAAGACGTGTGATTATAGCTTACATTTCTGGGTGAAGCCGCAACACTGTTCTCCTTGGCGAGCAAGTAATTGGCAAGATCTAGGTCCACATTTTTCCGGGTTGGAATGAATCGATCGTTCTGCGAATACATAGATGGTGTGCGAGGTCAGTGTGAAGACTTTCCGGGAGCAACAACATGACTAGGACAGAGGTCTACTTGTGCAGAGTGCAGTAACGGAGGTCTGTAGGGCAGCAATCTGAGCTTGGATTTAAGCGATGTTCACAGTCAACATACATGGCACCCTGGTGTCTTCCTTGGAGTCTTGCGTGAGAGAAAGTCGGGAGATGCCTGCTCTCTAAGTGGGAGCCTCTCGGACCACCTGCTGGATTGGAGAACGCTCTTGGTTGGGGTTTGAAAAACCTTAGCCATGGCGAGTTACAAATACAACGAAAGAAGGATTACACTCCGCTCACCCCTTACCTTGGGGTGGGAAGTTTTCGCAAAATGTATAAATGATTTCAGAGATGCTGACAGACAAACTACTGCGCATACAGATGACAAATCGATATCAGAGAGTGCAAATGCAAAAGCGGGCGACAATCGATGTGCGAAGATAAAATAATGAATCCGATACAATGAAAGTGAAGAACGACGAATCCAATAAAACAAAATTAGAGTTATAATAGAACACTGAGAACGCTAAGTGCTTGATATCGTTTATGATGGTTGATTGCCTCTGAGGGCGCGCAGATTGCTTGGTCCCTGTTGAAGGAACGAACGTGGATTCCCTAGAGATCAGTTGTGGGAGTGGGACCGAAGAGAAATCCACAGAGAAAACTGTGTGGATCGATGAGAAGAGCACGAAATAGTTGAAAAACCCTGCACGATCGGAGGTTTTTAAATGAAGAGTGATTGGGGCCACAATTTAGCAGTTGCAGACGGTGGAATCCGGGAGGTGAAACTTGAAATCTCGACCGTGGATGAGCTAAATCGAACGTGGTGCATTCGAGTCTCCGATAATTGGAGTTAGGTTTTGTAGCTTCCAACGGTAATATTGTGTAGCTGGATTCAAACATAATCGACAAAATAAACGGTCACAAATTCTGGAATGAAGGTACGATACGTTACAACAACTGTGAAGTACAGTAATCGACTGAGTTATACGTTTTCATTCGGATACATCCTTCACCGCAATCCGTAAATACAATAACTTGCCATGCTAAGTTTTCAACTCACGAGACGTTCTAAAGCAACAAAACTTTACCTCCCTTCAATTTCTCCTCTTACACTACTTCACCTCTCCAGATTAATAGTTCTTTTCAAAAGTAAGGGATCAATGTCGAAAAATTATTATATGAAAAACGTTACTATCGACAACACCAAGTTCGAAGTGAAGTAACATAAAAGAAAAGTAAGAACTCTGTAATGGAGAAGTTACAAATAAAATATTGGTCATAGGCTATGACCAATATTTTGATAGGCTATGACTCATAGCATGGTTATAATAGTCACTAGCCTAAATAACCTAAATACACAGTTAATTTCGTTTACTTAAAAAAAAAATTAGTCTCCTCCAAAACGTTAATTTATAATATTTTAGTCTCCTTAAGTAAATAAAGCTAGGTTAATTTAGTATGCTAAAAACTAATTTAGGCCAATTTAATTAAGTTTAATTTATTCTAATAGGGGTTTTTTAGTAAAAAAAATTAGATTAAATAAATTAGATTAAATTAAATTAAATAATTGATCATTTTGCATAGGTGTCAACTCCCCATTGGTTGAAACACGTAAGTGCCAAATCGCATACACCTTAATTTAGTCGCCTGCTCACTAGATAGTTTAGGTAATTTATGTGACCTTAATTACGGTCGCCTAATACAACCATGCTTGCTCATAGCCTATCAATGCTGAAAATGAAGAAACTAAACATTTAGTAAAACAAATGAAAGGAAAGAACCACTTGTATCTCAATGAAACACGTCATTAACAACCTCATTTGAAGATGTGGATTATGAAATTTGTCTGCAAACATCATAAGAACTCGAAATAGCTTGGTGAATATGATTGAGAGCTGTACTGAAATCAAAGAGATTAGCATATGAGAAGAAATAATTTCACATCTAGTTTATCTTAGTACCCTCTAGATGTTCAAGCAGTTCTGTTGAGAAATTTTACTCTGACAGTGTGATTAAAGGCCTTGTTGACATTTCTTTTTTACCAAATAGATCGGGCAAATTTTTGGCTCCTGTATTTTTGCTGATAGTACTCCGATTCATATCTCAAAACTTGATGTATTTTTTAAAGAATGAAATTTCTATTTATAAGCCATTGTAATATTCTTTGTGGAAGAGATGAAAAGAAAATTTTATTTAAAATCAAACAAATGACAACATCATCAAATAACAAGTACTTGATGAAATTTTTAATGATTTTGAATGAAATTATTTTACATGACAGTAAGTTGGAATATGAATATCAATAATTAAACAAGTGATTGTTTTAAATAACAAGATAAAATGTGACATTATATAACATGAAAACCTTATAGATTGCCAAGCAAATCATATGTATTGTTAAAAGATTTGTTTGAAAACACAATGTAAGATATAATCTTCAAGATTTATTTGAAAAATTTTATGCTATGAAAACTATAGAAAGTGATTCTAACATAATAAATTACAAGCTAGGATTTGTAAAAGATATCAAAGCCTAAACACTTCACTTTAAACCAAAACAAATGAATGTATCTTTACAACAAGACTATGAGTATCATTATGTTACATTTATAATTTTTGATTTTGAAGCAAATGAAATCATATAATGATTGCAGTTTTATGAAACTCTTATTCAGCATTTTATCACTAAGAGTTGTTAAATATTTTGTTTGATTTCATGTGACAATTGAACTTCAAAATGAAAGATTAAAAAACATAATGTCACTTTGACAATCTTTATCAAAATTTTGATGTTATAGTTTTGTTGACTTTTATTGTTTATATAAAGAAGTTTTTTATGTTAAAACTTTATTTTTTTTGAATATTTTTTATTATAAACACAATTAATTTAAAAATATCTCCTCTAAAATCTCATTCAATGTAAAATTGCACTATCTATCAATTATTAATAAATATATATAAATATATATTTTTACATAAAATTATAAAATTTTCTCAAAACATTTAATCCTTATCTAACATTAATACGGTTTGTTACATGAAAACTATAAATAATCCACTAAAATTCAATTTCCATCTATATCTTGAATAAGCTAAAGATTATTGAAGATGAACTTAATATAATACCTAATTAAATATGGTTATACATTTTTCTCCTCTTCTAATGTAAAGTTCTTGTTGCTTATATGTTCAAACTCATGAATGATGAAAGATGCATTAGCTAGATTTTTTTAATTGACTCTTATGATGGATTCACTTCTTACTTAATCAAATATTTTATTTTGAAATATTCATGATCTCAAATCTTTTTATTGGTTATCTTTTTTACCTCAAACTTTTCATGATCAACTACTAAATTTAGTAGAAAAGATGGTGTTGATGAGTTAGTAAATTAGTTTGGTTGTGATTTATGTTTTTGCATTTATAACAAATAAAATATAGGTTTTCTTTTCATATGTGATGGGAAGTTTAAGTTGTATGAAACTTTATCAACACTTTATATTTATCAAAAAAAAAACAGCTCTAAAGTTAAACCTTGATGTTCATATAAGAGAAAATTTTGTTGTAGATATTCAAACATGATTTTTTACTTCACAGATGAATTTGTCATATAAGCTCTACATGTCAATTTGTCAGTTTTGAGCAATGAGAATTTTTTTTTGGTTTAAATATAATCTTTTATAAATTTATTTCACAAAATATTGTTGATTGATATAATTTTAATCAAAATTTTATTTTCTTTAAAAAATTTATCAAACTTGATGAAATTTAGAATGAACAATATGTATAAAATTAAATAAAAACATCTATTTGAATGCATTATTGTATTATTTGTTTGATTTTGCACATATATAATAAGAGGTAGAAGAGAATCTCACTTTTCTTGCTTTGCTATAAATGTAACATATACTCAACAATTCTATTGATCCATTATTTTGACCATCAAGTTGAAGATGATAGCATTGCTAGACTTATTTTAGATAATATATACGAGATTTGATTATGATTGAACACGTTGTAAAATTGATAATGTTTTTTTTTTAATCCACAAAAGAGATTCATGATGATGTGGTGCTATCATAGTTTAAGAATACAAAAACTTTGTAATAAACTTGTAGCTTTATGATAGTTTATCTTGTTTCCTTGACAAGCTACAACTTTTTTTTGCATAAATCTTCATTAACTCACGTATTTTGAGCCAATGATACACAATTTGTGTGCTTTGTAAGGATTCCACAAACTAGTGCGCAAAAATCTCCATATAGTTCGTATTTTGAACTTATATATGCTAGGATTATTCACTTCCATATAGTACGCAATAGATATATCAAATAACATCATTGTGCTTATTATTTCATTTGCAAAATGCATGTTAAGTGTTTGTAAATTTCAAACCTTAAACTTATTTTGTTTTTCAAGTTTTGCAATACTTTTGAAATACTTGATCATTCTTTGAGGGATGTGTCATCTAGCTTCATCAATCACCTTGAATTTTTAAATCAATTTTTCAACATGATTAAAACATGATATGATTTGTGTTAAAGCATTTGTAAGTTGTTTTTTGACCTTCATATATTTAATTATTATGTTGAAGCTTTGACTTCATTGTGCTCATCAAATTGATCATTTTGGTATATTTTTTTGACTTTCATAATTAATCAATAATTTATGATCATTTTTCATCAAAAAATTATTTGTACTTAATAAGACTTCCAATATTTTGTTGCAAGCATAATGACTAATTTTTCTTATTTGATTTAGTGCTAATCTTATGAAGCTGACATCAAATTTTGAAAGAAAGAAGCAATTGAATTTCAACAGTCATTTGATTTTTGTGGAAGTATATACTTCAATTTTATACATGATATGTTATTAATCAACTAGATAAAATAGTTAAGATTATAACACATGAAAGCTCATTCATAAATGTTAGAAGTATTTTAATTATTTTTCCAACTATAGGTTTGATAATTAAACTAAGTTAAAATAGTTAAATATAGTCTAATTTGCAAAAATTCTACAACTAATAAATTTACACAACCAAAAGTGTTTGAAAATTCTTCAAGTCATTGTTAATAAAAGTGAAAGATTTAAACCTCAACAGGTTGCTTAAACTTGTAGCCTTCAATTTGGTTTAAGTTTGTCATTGTGATAGGTCAGTTTTTTTGTTTTTTCAAAAATAAAACAGTAGGATGGAAAGTTGAAGTTGTTTTTAACCTTGTAGCGTAGAAGTAGTTAGGTTAGAATAGAATAGCGTTGTTAGGGTAAATGGAGAGTAGTAGCAATTCTCCAGAGGAATCCTCACCGCGCGACGGCGTTCCGGAGTGCGGCAAGGTCAGAATCCAGAGAGACAGGTCGGGACGATTGAGGACTTCCTTCCTTTGAGTACCTAGGCAGGACCTCAGGAGAGGGTACTTGACATGCCCTAATGAGGACCTCGGAGCTTCGTGGTCACAAGAACAGTGAGGGGGCGCGCTTGAACGTAAAAGATAGTGCCGCGCGGGAAAGAATTTGAACGGCGGCACCTTCAATTCACACGCATGGGGAACTGTTGCGACGGCGGGGTATGCCCAAGGTGCTGGGCTCGACGCGCGCATTTCACGAAGACATTGTGCAATTGACGTGGAGTAGAGGCGCGGATGTGAGGACGAACAAAGAGAACCAGCGATGGCGCGGCCGATCAAGTCACATGCCCTGCGAGTGCTTGAGGTTGG